GAGGAAACACGGCGGGGAGGCGCCTGGCGCGCCGGGCCCCGCGGGGCCGCGCCGCCCGCTTCCCCCCGCCCCACACACACACAGAGCAGCGTTTCTGTGGCCGTTGGGGCGTTCTCGCGGCTCGCGCCTCTCGCGCCCGCAGCTGCGAGGGAGGGAGGGATGGAGGGAGGGAGGGAGGCGGCAGCCCCGCGGCCAGCAGCCCTCGCTCGCGCTTTTTCCAGCCCCCGTGAGGACGAGAGGCAATATCCATCTCAGATGGATTAAACGGAGAGGGGCTGGGGGGAAAGGAAAACTCGGGACCCTCGCAGAGCAGCCCCGGGAGCTGCGGCCGCGTCCCTGGCGCACAGGGACACCGGGAACTCGGGAGGGACTCGGCTTTTGTCTCCCACATCTACCTCAGGCTCCGAGATCTGGAGCCCTGCCTTGTTAAGCAACAGGAATGCCGTTAACCTGAATACATTAACATGAATAGAACCCTGCAGGTGCCTTGTGCTTAAAGGAGTTACGGAATCGGCCCCTTCGCTAAGCCGAGATCAGGTGCCCTCTCCGCTTGCTTTATCCGGCTCTCCTTCAGACCCTGTCCCTCGGCTCTTTGCAAAACACCAAGTCTCGCCCTTTCCCCCTTTGCCAGGGAGGAAACTTTGGAGCTGCCCTTCCTTAAAGGAAGGCTGGGAAAAGGGACTCGCCGCAGCTGCCCCCGGTGCCAAGGGAAGCTCCAGGTCCCCCGTGGCTTTGCCAGGACTCGGATCTGGGCAAAGCCGACGCGAGCCCACGCATAGCAGAGCAGCAGCCCGCGAGAAGCCGCGCTGCATCCCATGCGGGAGCAGCAACAACACGAGGCATGGGGCACATTGCAGCACCGATCCCCCCAGGAACACAGCAATAGCAACTTGGCTGTTAGTCAGGGCCAGAGAGAAAACCCCCAACGCAAAGCGCGGCCTAAGGGGCTATGCCGGCTCCGAGGCTCGAGCTGCAGCCCAAGAGGCCACCAGGAGCCCGTCACACACCCCGGCTTGCTCCTGTCCCGCGGGCCCATCTCCCTAGGGGCAGGAAAGCCGGGCTCAAGGCGCCCCGGGAAGGCTCCGGCATGGTGGTGTAAGGAGCGGTTGGCTGCTCCAGGCTGTGTAAGCTCGCCCACCGCTTCACGTACCCGCTCGGCGAAGCTCTTGGGGAAAAATACTACACGGGACTGCTCGTAGGAGGCACGGAGCAATCGCCCCAAACGTGCAGATGAGGGAAATTAAAAAAGAAAAAAAAATCACCAAGATATAAAGTGCCGCACTGAAGATATCCCCCTTGGCAGAATTTAGATACTTTAAAAGTTCTATCTAAAATGAATCCTACAGAATTTCCCTTCAAATAAGCATGTCTTTCAGAAAGGGGAAGATTAAGGATTTTTTTTTCCTCTGAAACTCCGCTGCATTTTCAGGAGGACACCTATTTTTAAACACCCTCTAGATTTACACTCGAAACCCTGTGCTCAGAAATAGCGTATAATGGCTCAGAGGTATTTTATATATAAATATATACACATACACACATTAGGCTCTCAGGAAACCATGATACAGTAGGTACTTTTAAATAATTCTTTGTTGAGCACCCCATGATAAATCTCTAGTTGAATAGCGTGCAACTTTACAAGAATCCTTGATATATACACCAAATGTGAAGCACTGGGGTAAGTTTGCCTATAGTGAGCTTCCAATAGGGAGATATTTTATATTAAATATTACACCCTGACACACAACTGAGAATCTTTGTTAATGAAGCTTTTGGGATTTTTTTGAGGGAATTTCTGAAAGGGGAAAAAAAAGGAGAGAGAGAGAAAAAAAAGCACTATTTCTGCATAAAAGTTGACATTTTCTCAGAGAAGGGAAATTCCATAAATAATCTGTGTTGAATTAACGGAAAGTTTTTGTTAGAAGAATCCCTGTGAATCCTTCTTTACTCGCTGGTGCCCCGAGGCTCCGCTCCCACTGAGGATGCCGGCTTGCTCGGTGCCGCTCCCGGCATTCCCAGGGCTCTCCACGTCCCTTGGGGGGCTCTGGGTCCCGGGCAGGGCCCTCGACAACCCCATCCTGTGACTGCTGGCCCATTCCTGTGACAGAGCGACAGGATTCCTCTCTGCCAGTCCAAACAGGGGGAATCCAGCTACCCTCGCTACGGCCGGTGTGCGGATCTAGGATGGGGAGCCATGAGAAAACGGAGAGGGAAAAGCCTCCAAGAGCTGGGCTGGCTCCCGCAGCCCCGGCAGGAGAGATGGGGCAGCAGCTGCCGCTGCTGCTGGGGGGGGTCCCCTCTTCCCACCCTTCTCCAGCAGAAACTGTCACCCCAGATCCTGCTCGCCCGTGTCAGCAGCAGCCAGCCGCTTTCCCGACGGAGGCGAGTGCTCCCCGCAGCCCTCGGACGGGGCCTTTTGCAGGGCAGCGTCCCACCACCAGCACCAAAGTTGTCCTAAACAGGGGTTGTCTCAGTGTTGTCCCCAAAACTGGGTCAGTTCCCCAAACCTCCTGGTTTGCGCAAACCGGTTTTGTAATGGATTTTGTAATCGATTTTGTAAGTTTTGTAATGGAAAAATGTCCCACTGAAGAATTTTGGGTTGACTTTTTACTCTGCCCACAGACCCAAGCTGTGCACGGAGCGACAGCCCCTGCAATACAGTGGGCTCCTATGGGCAGAAATGGTGCATGAGCTCCAGCTGGACAGACCCGAAGGGACACAGGGCACAACTTCCCAACAGCACTTCCCGCTCTCCCAGATATCATCAACCAGACACTTAATGAACCTGTTGAGCACCGATGACGGACCCAGTTGCTGACACCACGTTCATTATAACATCAAAGTTATAGAAGTACTCTCGGATGAGAGTACTTCTGATTAAAATGCTAGGCTAACAAT